TTGAATTCTCAAATGAGCATGTGAGTGGACTTGCCTTTGCCTAATCAAAGCCTGTAACCGCTGGGAAAGGCTTTGGAGATGCAGCAATTGTTTGAGCAATCTCAGTGTGCTCAAAAGGACACGAGCCTCCTGGGACACCCATATGTACAAACCCCCGGGGTACGAGGCTGGAGGAATGCAGGCAGCAGTCCCAGCACCTCTGCTTGGGTGATGGAGCCTCAGGGTCATGTAGGGGAGCATCCTCCATGGGTCACCAACAGCCCTCCTTGCCCACGCTCTGGCCCACCAAGCACTACTGCTGACAAAGCTGTCTGCATGGTTGGAGAGGTGATGCTTGGCTGCACGGTGGGTTTTGGTGCTAACCCCTCTGCTGAGATCGTGGGAGAGGACAGGCCTGGGGACTTGCACTAATCCGTGATTTAAGAGCTTGCCTTTGCTGACATCCAGAAACCACCACGTGCCAAAAATGACTGGAATGCACCCCATGGTCTTGATGAGGGTTCACAGCTCCAGGCTGAGCAGTTTCTCTGCTGTCCATCAGCGCTTCTCACTTCATTGCATCCCAGGGAAGGGAAGAGCAGGGAGCTGTAGCAAAGGACTCTGGGGAACAGACCAGGGAAATCTTTCACCACAAGAGGAGGGAGAAGAAAGTCTCTCACTCATGCAGAAATCAGCCTCATTCTGCTGCGAGCCCCGGAAGTGAGGAGAATCCATCCACCAGGAACACAGGGTCCTCTCTGCCTTCCTGAGCAGCTCAGTCAAAACTCCTTGGGGGAGAAGGCACAGAACTCCCAGGCAAGGACTGCTCAGGCTGCACAGCAGGGTTTGCCTGGCGAAGATGGGTGAGAAAGAGGAAGAAGGGGAATCGCAGGGATCTCTGCCTGAGTCTCAGGTTGAAGAGCATCCTGCAGAGGGACTTATTGCAGGACTGCTCTCAGTCTCCTTTTTCTGCTGAGCCACTGGAGCTTTTTCTTTTTCCTACCATACCACAACTTTTGTGGCATGAGAAGGCAGTTGAAATCCCTCCTTGTTTGTGTTCTCATAAAGAAAAGAAGAACAAATTGCAATGTGTGCATAAGAAGCAAAACTGCCCCGATGACCTTGTGTTGTTACTGGGAGCTGAGGGGGCTGTTCTCCCCCCCATGCTCTGGGCAATCTCCTTGCCCAGGTGAAGTGACTCAAACACATTGTCCACAAATCCTGCACTGGAAACAAACCTGACTTCTCTTCAGAGAAGAAAGTTGGCAAATTAGGGAGCCTTGTTCCTTCTGCTTCCCTGTGCTGACTGCAGGGTGCTTTCCTGGGCTCCTGCAAGCTTGGATTCTGGAGATTTGGACATGCTGCTGCTTTGGGGCAGTGCTGAACATCCTAAAACAAAAGCTCATTCTGGTTCCTAGCTCCACACAGATCTGGCTCTGGAACAGAGACAGACGTTGCCAAGTGGCTAAAACATCTGACTGTCACCTTTACTGGTGTCACAAAGTACAGAAGGGTTTGCTCCTAATGCTCCTGTAGATGCTATGTGAGCACAGAGCACAGGTGGCTGTGGGGTGGATGGTGAAGGCTCCCCTGGGATGTGGGACCTGCAGACCCCCTGCTTGCCCACTCTGGCTGCGACCCAGCCTCGAGCCCGATCCCAGCCCTGCCACCGGGGAGCTGTGTGGTGGGGTGGATGGATGCTCACCCACCTGGTGGCACAGCCCGATCCCAAAGCTGTCCCTGGAGAGGGAGCTGGATGTGGAGGAAAAGCTCCTGTCTCCTCGATGCAAGAAGCCCCTCAGTGGCTGAGCACTGTATAAACAGCAGCAGCAGGCTCCCTCCCCCTTTCCATTTCTGTTTGTTAAACACACGCTCCCTGCCTTTCTCTCATTCAGGAGCTAACACGACATCAGCTTTGTGAGACGGGGGCTGTCAGTCACCCCTCAGAGGCAGCAGGGCACGGAGGCTTCCCCGGGTGATGGAGCACCCTGCAGCAGCCCCAGTCCTTGCCTGACTTCCTCGCTGCTCTGAAGCCAGTTGCAGAAAAGTGCTTTCCACCCTCTGGCCACAGGTTGACTCCAGGAGAGAAGACAGGACGGTTCCCAGCCCGCGATGAGGCCGTAGTGCGAGGAGAGCTGTTCCGAACCAGAAGGACACAGGTGGGTCGGGGAGGGGTGAGTTGGGGCCGGGTCTCAGCCGTGCTGCATGGTTCAAGCATCCCAGCAATCCAGGGACCTTGAGAGCTGAAAGAGAGAGAAAGTGAATCAGAAATACTGCCAGGTGAGTTTTGAACAGTTCCCAAGCAGAAGCAGGAAGCCTGGGAAGTGGGATGCTGAGTGAGAGTGGAGCAGGGGGTTGCAGAAACCAGTCAGGTACAGATACCCAGTGCTACTGAGATGCTGAGAAACCCCCCCTCTCTCCTGCACTCAGCTCCTCGTGGCTTTCTGCAAGGCTCTGCCAGCTTCCCAGTGCTGCTGCTGGGGCTGCACATGCTGCTGGTGCTCAGCACTGCCCTCAGGGACAGAGAGGCACAAGGAGACAGAGGTTTGCAGGAAGGAAGTTGGTGCTTGCTTGCTTGATGCTCCGCTTGCATGTTGGTTGTGGAACAGAGCTTCTCCTAGTCCTGTTGTAGTATGTGTTTCACCAGAAAACTGAGTTTCTGGTCTGTCCCAAAGCAGGATAGCGGGTTTGCTCCCTGGCTGTTCTGTCAGTGGGGTTGCTGTCTCCCTCCCCTCCCCTTGTCTCATCTATCCCAGACTCACAAACTTTCCCGAGGCTGCAGACCCCCCAGGTTGCAGGTGCAAAGGTTCCTTCTGCAGGGCCTTCTCTTCCCTCTGTAGCCCTCATGAGGTGCACAGCCCCATCATGTTGTCACGCTGTGCTATCTCAGGATAGCACTGCCCTGTTCCCACAGCATGTCCTGCAGCACTGTGTCCCCTTCTGCCATAATGTTGTAGTGGGGGCAATTACCTTTTTGCTGGAGATGGAGGGGCCCAGGATAATTTCTATCTTCACTTTAGCTTCAAGATATAGTTCCAGAGCTGCTTCTTGCCCTCAAACCAGCACATCACACACAGAGGGAGAAGCCCCCTCCCCTCCATCACTCACACATTGTATTTTCATGCAACTCTTCCCATCTCTTTTTGGCCACTCTAGTTATCCCAAGAGATGCTGCCTCCTCTCTGGTGGTGAGTACAGGAGACTGGAGTGAGGGAACCTGGGCTGTGTTCCCAGCCTGATGTAGACTCTCTGTGTGGCCTCAGGCAGGCTGGTTATCTTCTGTTAACTATTCCATTTTATTGTGTTTTCTTCCCTTATAAGCTGTGCTGGAGCGCAGGCAGAGAGGGCTTTACCTGCCTGCTGCTGAGATGGGGATGAGTGCTCCAAAGCAGGCTGCTAAAGATGAGAGGGTTTGATGGAGCTGAGCTGCTTTGGAGAAAGGACACAGCATGGAACAAATCTGTGTGCCAAGCCATAAAACATCCATCAGCCTCAGCCCTCACGCTCCATTGCTGCCATAGAAAGAGATCGTGGCTGTCATCAGCCAGGTTGGGAGCAGAAAGCAGGGGATGCCCGAGTGCCTCCACTCCCCCCTTCCCAGTCAAGGACAGCCGTGACAGGATCATGATTCCTGGCCGTGCTCTGAGCCATTTTTGTCCCTGCCTCCCTCTTTTCTGTGCCCTTTATTCCCACACAGCATGCTTGCTGGTGACCCAGTCCTGCTGCTGGGGAGAGAAAAAGAGATTTCCATCATCCATCTCTGGCTTAGGTGGTATTTCTGCCTCCTTCTGGCCTTGCTTTGCTGTTTTTCTCCCCCAAAAGCAGTTGGCTCTCAGCTCCAAGGATTTTTCCATCTTGCCTGGCAGGCCTGCTGGGCACGGGCAGCAGCATACACATATGCCAGCACTTCCATTACTCACTAGAACAGACCACGGTCCACTCCAGCAGCATCCCTGCAACCTCCAGCTGCCCCTGGAGGATGAACACTTATTATTACCATTTTGCCTCTTAATTAAAATGCCTTAATTGATTTTTAATAGCTCCCTTTCAGAAAAAAAAATATCAAAAAACACAAAGCAAAGCAAATCAAATAATAGCTCCATTAAGGCTGTTTTGTTAGGAAGCGAAACAGCTCCAATAACCCTGATGTTCCTGGCTCCTCACTGATGGGGGGCGGCTGCCAGTCTGCAGCAAAAGGAAACAGCCCAGATGTGGTCATGGGATGCAGCAGTGTGCTGCTGGTGAGATGGGAAGGAGGGAAGGGAGCGTGTGCTGGTGTCATGCCAGGATTTGGGCACTATAGGTAAACGGGACAGGCAAAAAAAAGAGGTAACAAGTGGCAGTGATACAGTGAGACTAGACAGCCTGGTACGTGTACAGACCTAACAGGGAAAGTGCAGCCCCCAGCAACGTGTCCAGCACTGCTATTCCCCCACCAGCCCTGTGGCCCCTCACTGCCCTCCTGCCCGCTGGGCGGCAGCTTTGTTTCTCCATTACCGCAGTAGCTGAGCCAGCAGATTCATTGGAAGGAATGGTTGGCATAAAACAGCCAGCTGTGGAGTTCGATAGCCAAGCCAAAGGGTGTGGAGAGAGCAGAAGAAAGCTGGTGTGCAGGCAGGGCAGCTTCCAGGAGCAGCCCTCCAGCACCCGGCCAGAAGCATTCCCATCACACAGGGGTTGAAATCAGAGCAGCTCACTCCTCAGGGGGTTGAGGTGAGCAGGGGGCTGCCCTAATTCCCACCTTCATTTAAACCTCATGTCTCCCTCCCTCCGTGGCAGAGCGTTGTCCTCTTCTGTCGCCAGATCACAGAAAGCACAGTGCTCTGCAAACAGCCCAGTTTGGGCAAGGGAATGACTTTTGCTCCCTTGATGGAAATAAGGGAAGGTAGGGGGTGTTGGGAACCATGACGCCCCTCCCCTCACAAGCCAGCAGCACTTCAGAGACACAGGGGCTGGGAAGGAGCTAATGACAGAGCTGGCTTTCCTCCTGCTGCATTTGGACTGCACAAAAGCCCCTCTGTGCCAACACTCGGCTGTTCCGATGGCACCAAACGCCAACCGCAGGTTCCAGGCTGAGTCACTTCTGGTTCACTGGCCAAGGTCCTCACTCCTAGAGCCAGCTTCTCACAGACATTTGTGCATGGCATGGTGAGAGGCTCGCTGACGCCGGGGCTTTGGCTCTCAGCAGCAGCTCGGCTGGATGCTTGTTCACAGCTCCGGCTGTTTGCCTGTGCACAGCTCTGCGGCACGTGCGCTTCCCAGCAGGAGCTCTGCAATGCCAGCCACTGCTCAGGGATGCTCGGATGGTGGCACCTGTGGTGGGAGCAGCATGGGATGCTCCTGAGATCAGAGTGGGACAGATATTGCCATCTGAAAATGACCAAGAGGTCCCACGTTTTTGCTTTGTTTAAATCAGCTCCCAGTTTTGCAAAGCCCAGCCTGAAGGAGCAGTGAGGCAGTGTGCAGAAAGGTTTTACGAGCAGATCTTCTCAGGACCTACAGTCTCGTCCTGGTTGACTTTATGCCTCGTACAACTGAAAAACAGAATCCCAGAAACTCATGGAAAGCAGCATGAGCCCTGATTTCCTTGGGGAACTGGCATTCATCTAACTAACAGGGTAAGTGGGAAGGCAGGAGGGTGTCACCGCCCAAAATGCTGTGTAGGACACGTTCATTAAGTTTCAGCTCTTGCAGATGCTCTGTTGCCTCCCTTGCTCTCACTTCTGCTGTGTCTGTGTTCCAGACCCTCTCCTCCCATCCAAGGGTGCCAAGCCAGGCATGGGACTGCTGCAGGGAGCCAACAGCACCCTCATTATGGAGAAGCTGGCAGTAGATGAGAAGCTGTCACAGGGCTGGCACACTATGGACTTTGTCACTCCCAGCCTGGATCTCTCTGGGTCCCGCAGTGTTATGATGGACAGCACCAAGATCCCAGGGGTCCAGGTAGTTCTGATTGCTGCCTACTCCCTCATCATCCTCCTGGGGTTCATTGGCAATTCTTTGGTCATCTACATCATAGTGAAGTACAAAACCATGAGGACTGTGACCAACCTCTTCATAGCTAACCTGGCCCTGGCAGATCTGATGGTGGACACCCTCTGTCTGCCTTTCACCCTAGTGTACACGCTGCTGGATGAGTGGAAGTTTGGAGCTGTCCTTTGCCATCTGGTCCCTTATGCTCAAGCTCTGAGCGTTCACGTGTCCACTCTCACCCTGACTGTGATTGCCCTGGATAGGTACAGATGTATTGTGTTCCACCTGGACAGCAGGATCTCCAGGAGGCTCAGCTTCACCATCATAGCCATCATGTGGCTGGCTGCAGCCATCCTAGCAGGTCCTCTGGCCATCTTCAGAGAGTTCCGCTATGAGGAAATCCCATCTATCAACCTCAAAATGGCTGTCTGCTCTGAAAAATGGCCTTCTGGTAATAATAGAGATGCCACTATCTACAGCCTGTCCATGCTACTCCTGCAGTACGTTTTTCCTCTTGCAGTTATTTGTTATGCTTATACCAGGATCTGGTTCAAGCTGAAAAACCACGTCAGTCCCACATCTCGAAATGAAAACCAGTGCAGGAGGAGGAAGACCACCAAAATGCTGGTGATGGTAGTTGTGGTCTTTGCAGTCTGTTGGCTGCCCTTCCACATATTCCAGCTTGCCATTGATCTTGATCTGGTTCTTATCTTCCATGAATACAAACTGCTGTACACCGTCTTCCACGTGGGAGCCATGTGCTCTACATTTGTCAACCCCCTGCTCTATGGATGGATGAACAAGAACTATCGGAACGGCTTCCTCATGTTCTTCCGCTGCCAGAACAAGCCAGAAAGCATCCATGCCGAAGGCTCAGTGCGAGGGAGGTCATACATCTTCAGGGCCAGCACCCTGAATGGGAGCATCAGGCACGCTGCTGGCAATGGACCCACAGAGGTTTAGGGATGAGGTGTTCACCTGCAGGACTGAGGCTGACTGAGTGGAGACATTCTTGGTGAAAGCCTTTTTTGGGAAACATGCTGCTACTGCAGCCGCATAGAAATACCTCTTGTATCTCTCAGTACAATAAATCTGGTGTATTTCTCTCTGACCACACAAATGAATTTTTTCTTTCTCCATGATGCATGCAGAATCACCAAAAATCATGGAAGGGGCTTCCGCCTACCCTCTTTCAGGCATTTCCATATGCCAAATTGGGTTGTTCAATCTTTTACCTCCCAACACACAACACATCAACAGGGAACCAATACTGTTCGTCCACACGGCCCCTACCAAAAGCATGATGATGCATAGCTAATGCATGCAAGGGGAAGGAGACCTTGGAGCACGGCCGGTCAGTGCTATTGCCCCACAGGCTGTGGCAGAGGAGCAGGTCTGTTGAAGCCACTCACTCTGTTATTCTTGCACAGTGCTGGCATGAATCTGCACTCACAGCTCAGAGGAGGAGCTCCTGACCCCAGAAGGCCCAGGAGGTGGCAGTGACACTGCTCATCACAGCTTCTTTTACAGATACCGAAGCAGGGCTTCAGGGACACCTCTGGTGTGACAAATCGTGACACACAAGCTACCTTTCATTAGCCAGGGAGCTTGCAAGCCAACACCTTGGATTTAGCAAAGTGAAACTGAGCTGGGGTACTGACCAAGGTGCTTTCCTTCAGCCCCTGGGATGTAGCTCCTGCCATGCAATATTGATTAGTGCTGGACTGACCAGAGTGGTAAAACTGTCAGTGACACCATCCTCCAAAGTGCTCAGAGGGTTTTAAAGCTTCTCTCTGGAGGCAGTACATGGGTGCTTCCGTTCGGAAGTGACCCACTTGCGTGTTTGCTACAGAGGGGATGTCCTCTGTGCATGGACACAAAGGAAGAAGTATTCTTTCAAACCAAACTTTATGTTCTTTCCCCCGAGGCTCTGTCAGCTGCTAACATATTTTTAGCTCCGCCATCAAAGGAAGCTTGATTGCTGCTGTGATCTCAGCAGCTTGTCATTGGTGCCGTCTCCAAAGTCAGCGTTCATCAGATTGGAAAGTAACTCCCAGATGCAGGAGAGGGACTCAACAGACTTCCTCATTAAAGATAAAAAGAAAAGAAAAACTTTGATTTTAGGCCTTTAGAGGAGCAAGGATCGGTGGTAAGAGCACCAAGAGCACCAGCTGTGGGGCTGCCACACTGCAGTCCTCCAGAGGTAACCCCAGTGGATTTGCATGCAAACCCCCAGGCTGACCTGCCCCCAGCCCTTGCTCTCCGCTTGGCTCCTGGCTGTTACGCTGATGAATTTAATGTCTCTGCTATTTCTGCCCTCTGATCTCCTCCTCCGCTTTCCTAAATAGGTACAAGAAAGCAACCTCTGCTTCCTTCCAGGGAGACACCATCCTGGCAGGAAGAGGAGGATATTCTCCTCCACAGCACTGGTAAATTCCATCCTGACCTCGTGAACCGGTCGTTTCTCCAACCCAAGGAACTCTCCCTGTGTTTCCATCAAATTCCAAGGCACAAGGAAATGTTTATTTTTCAAAAGCAGCTTAAATGGGTGGAAAGAATTCAACTATTACCAATAAACACTTCAGAAAGTGATTTACCATGCCATGATAGATGTCAGAATAAAGCAACACAGCAGTGCAAGCCTGGAAGCCCATCATGCTGCCAGATGAGATGGATGAGGAGCTAAGCTGCTCCTCCAGGGCTTTGCCAAAGGTTTTGTCCTGTGACACCACGTACAGCACCTGACTGCAGAGCAGGGCAGATAATGACATTATGAATGGCTGTTTAATTTTGAGCCTAGGCTTTTAAACTAAATATGGATAAATAAGTAAATAGATCCCAGCTCTTCTCAAATAAATACCGGCGATGGCATTTATAGAGCAGAGGGAGAAAACTGAGAAGGAGAAACTATTTACTTGAGTGTAACAGCAAAGTTCCGTTTGCTTTATTTAATGCACTCATGCAGCTTTACTAATGGATTTCTGCCTATGAGATTGCTGTTTCTTCCCTGCTATTTGGAAGAGTTACATCCTTCCACATCCAGGCAGGGAAATAGCTCTCAGCTGTGTACACATCCCTGTGGAAAGCTGCACTGCCCCTGGTGATGGGAGGCAGCCCTGCGCCCGCTGCCGAACGGAATGGAAGGCAGAGACCAAGGGAGCAAGACTTCTTTGCAAAGGCTGTTTGGAGTAAATAAATACCTTATAGGCTGTCACGATTGCCTCTGACCACTCCGTGCAGTGATTTCTCATGTGCCAGGAGAACACAAGAGCTGGGACATGGCAACATCTTCATTTAAAAGAGCAGTGCAGGCACCTGTTGTTCCTCCTTACAGGCTGCTTGAGAAGCTCTCACAAGTCCCAGAGCCTCGTATCAAATTGCAAGCTTGACAAACCAGAGCAGAAGCTGTGCTTGAGGCTCTCCGAGCACTGGAAATTCCACCTCTGCAACACATAGTTTGCTCTGATAATTCCTTCCCCTTTGATTTCCCAGGTAGACACGTCTGTAACAAGCTCACGCTCACACAGAGAGCAAAGGTTTGGGGCTTTTATTTTCCCTTGTCTGGAGGCAATACATGCAGCAGGCATTTAGATCAATGCAGGGTGAGCGGGGTCGTTGCTCAGGGCTCTGCTGGAATCAAAGCCACTCCTGCGTGTCCCCATGCTTCATCCTGCTATTGTAAAGGCCAGCTCCATCCTCGTGGCTCTCTGCTATGCAGGAACATGTGCCCTCTCCTATTACCCACAGAAGCCCAAGCAAACAGTGTCAAATGGCACATGTTTTATTCAACATGCCCCCAGATGTACCTGCAGAAGCTCCGAGCTTTCCACAAAGGCTCTGCAGGGTCTGTGTGATGAAGCAGCTCCTCTAACATACGCTAATAAAAGAGAGGCTGGAGTGCCATTCTGCTGAAGGAGGTCACAGACAGCTCAGCCGTTTCCCCTGATATCGGGTGTTAATCTTATCATTTCTACAGCAAACTGTGTCTGAAGCCAAATTAGCCCTTTGTTTGGGCAGGAGCCATAGAGTTGGCGCTGCCTTTGCATGCTTTTGTCTCTCAGCTCCGTTATTGTGTGATTTCATCCAGGCTTTGAATGCGCTGGGTTTGAAATAAAGCCTCAGAATCAGCTAAAGTGGTGAAAATCAGAAATCACTGCAGTAATCCAGAAAAGGAAAAGACTGCGTGTTCAAATGTGTGATTGGAATTTGGTCCTTTGCATTTGGAAAACAAAACCAAACATAACAAAAAAGCTCTGTCTTCCTTTCAGTCTTCCCTTATCTAGCTTGAGACTCTTCAAGTGCCAAAAATAATACTGCACATTACTGCCAGAACATTTATCTTTGTGTTGAGCTCATTTCAGCCAAGGGATTTGTTCAGGAGGGGCTGAGAGGGGAAGAAGGGCAAGTTTGTAAAGTCATCGTTATCTCTGGTCTCATTCTGTAAGCTAGAAGACAAATCCAAAGAAGACAAAGTCACTCACACGCCAGTGGATGTACCAATTTATCTTCAGACAGCACAACCTCTGCTTCATTTTCTATCCAGCACCCTCTGCTGAAGTGCTATATGAATATGGGGCTGAAGAAGGCTGTGGGAGAAAAGCGTTTTTCCACTGCTGATAGCAATACCTTAGTGTCTCTCATGATCTATTGCCAGCAAAGAATGCTTTTTCTGGTTTATGTTCTTTTCAATGTAATATAGAAGGAACAGTTCCTCACAGGAGGAGACCTTCATTAGTTCAGTCCTCTCCAGTGCAGCAGCAAAGTCTGGGGACATTAGAGGAGGAAACCTTTTGCTTATAACCAGCTTATTGAAGTGCATGAACACGGAGTTGTTCCCACGTCATTCTGCTGTGTCAGTCACTCTGCTAACGTGCCACAAACTCTGATACTGTCTGCATCCAGGATGTGTATCCAAGATGCTTCTCCCTGCTGCTGTGTGGGAGGAAGAGGGCCAATGGGTCAAAGAATGAGATTTCAAGATATTAAGAAGAGGACGTGCCCCTGGATGGAATTTGAAGGTGGCTTATACTCCTAGCAACCACAATGGTTGTATCAGAGATCTTAGAGGGAACCTTTGTCTGGACCATTGGCATCCATTTCTAGGCTTTTCATTCACTAATTGACCTCAGCCCTCTGTTACAATCGGAAAGATTAACGCCGTGGAAGGGCAATCCAGGAGTGTCACACCAAAGGATAGAATGGCATTTCAAAGGAAAAGTAAAGGTGCTCACCCACCTCTGAAGATCTAAGCTTGCAGGAAAGACTCCACAAGGGAAAGATCTCCAACCAGAGATCCTTCTCCACTGCCTATCAGACCTTAAATGAGGTCTGAGAGAGGTGCAGCCAGGCTCCACCCCTTCCAATGGCACAGCTGAATTGCTTTCACCTGTGCTCCCAGGGCTGACCTGGTCCTCTCCCCAGGTGCTCAATCAGTGGCTCAGGCTGTTTCTCAACAGTTCCCATACACCATCCCTGACCGTTCTGGCTGTTCCCACAGCCTCCAGTGGCTGCCAGTTCCAGAAGCTCACTCCCCACTTTGTACAGAAGCATTTTTGTTTGTCTGTTAGAACAAATCCCCTACAAGTTTCAGCAAATGCCCTCTCATTCTGGCACTGCGGCGCTTGCTGGCCAGCAGATAACATTCACCCTATCCACTGCATTCTTCATATTGTAAATCTTCATGCCATCATCCTTCTCTTTGTCCAGCTTGGCACATCTCCTCCTAAGGCAGCTTCTCCATTCCTGATCACCTCATTTGCTCTTCTCACCCAGTCCCACAGATATCAAAAGGGCTGAATCTTCCTCCTAATTCCTGTGAAGGGGTGGGATTTGTCAGCTTTAGATGATGACTCTGCTTGGTGTCTGATGTTCCAACTTTGCTTGCCATCAGCTAGACAAGGGCTTTAAGGTACGTGTTGGGGAAGAGCACCTCTTGAAGAAATGCTAGGCAGCCTCTCCATGGCCACAGCATCGCTGCCACAATCTCATTACATTGGACACTGAGTCAGTTCAGTGAATCATGAAACGCACCCTTGATGGTGTTTATGAAGTCCAGAGGTAGTCAGATCCCTTCCTCTCTTTGAACTCTGACCCAATAGTTTTACCCAGTGGCAAGGCTGAGATCTGAGCAATCCTGATCCTAGACTGGTCCCCAGCTCACAGCTTCATCTGCCCGCTCTACAAAACAGAAACGTGAGGGATTGAGCATTTCAGGAAAAGAGTGACAAGTTTTTGTTACTCGGCAACTGTCACTCCCACATATTTTGGAAGGATTTGAGAACATCCTGCACCTTGGAGAAATCAACCAGCTTAGCTGAGGAGGAAGAGAACTGGCAGCAGATCCCCAGAACTTTGAGCTGGGAAGATCTCCTGGGGCTCCTGCAAGCGAAAGGCACTTTATGTCTGCATGCTCCTCAGCTTGTCTCCTCAACGTGACTGTCTGCATCAG